TGGACTTATTGGACTGGACCGGTCCAAATGGTCCAGAGTCCAATAAAATGATTGGACTGGCAATTTTGACAACACTGGGTTACCATACTGTATGTATAATGATCAGTGACTATACATTACATACATGGTAATAGGAGTTTATTATTATATTGAACTATTCAAATTAATGTCAGGCTACTTGTTACTATTAATCCTTGTTGATAATTGGTTTTGACTTCTAAATACTGGCATGAGTTATGAAAAATGTAATACATTACCTGTTTCTGTAACCCCCAATATTAACCCCATTTTATTATTAATTATCTAGATTAGGAAACCTCTACAAATTTGGTCATTGTGTTAATCAGCATCTTTTTATGGATAGAACGGTGTCACACACATTTAAGGGTAGAGTATACATAACACAAATTTTACTATGATACAGTGGATAATTTTTTGGCTGCCAATCATTAAAATATTAATGTAGTCATAATAACATTCATTATGTAATAGTAATATCAGGGTAGATAAAAATATTTTATTTGTAATATCACCTATTGAAAGCAGGTGATGAGGGAATGAAAATTTTAAGTCCAATAATTAACACTAAACAATAAATGAAAACATTTAATATAACATTGTCCTTTTCTTCCTCATCCTTTACATCCTTTAGCAAACAAATAAATCAACAGGCTGTATTTTGCTGCTCTTTCTCATTTCCTTATTTAAAAATAAATTATAATGTTAACACTTTAATTCTCAATACTATATTGATTATATTAATTATCTTCAAGTAAAATTATGGGAAGTGCTCACATGTTTAAAGTAAAAAGAAAATTTGATATAACTTCCATGAAGAATAAGCAGGACAAATAGTATATGTAGAATATATAGAGATATATTAATGACTTCCACTACCATACCTCAACTTGTCTAGTTGATAGTTATGTTTTCAAAAATTTAATTTTTATCAAATTTACACATGAATAAAACTAATACCATTTACCTTGAGAACTCATTGACAAAGAATTAAAAATAAATAATTTTCATTTGAGATTTAATAATATATTTGTTATAAAAATTATTATTTCTATAAAATATATCTTATATTAATACATATGGGGCATACTGCAACAAAACCAAAGTGAACATTGTATTACCAAAGATTTCAGAGTATTACTATTGCATTTTTCCTCTTAAATTTAATACATTTCACCATATGTTACTTTCCAATTTTAATTTGATTGATGAAATTTTTAAAAAACAAGATTTGGTGATTTGGAAATAAAATAATTAAATTATTTTTTATTTTTGCATAAGAGGTAATTAAAGCCTCATAATCAATTAATTAAAAATGTACAATAACAAAAACCACTTTGATTCAATTCGGTTTTCTTAATTAACTTCTTTCACCTTGATTATTTTATTTTTATTTAAACTAACTTTTCTTAGATGTGGCTTTATTATTTTTTGTAGACTGCTTGTGTGTCTTATAGAACTGATTGGTATTTTTATTGGAGAATGAAACATTTGCTTGGTCAAGTTTGTCCTCTCTTTATTGGTTTGTGTATTCTTTTGTAACAATGATTGATATGTTAAAGCCCCTTCATTGACAATATTCTAGAAAAAGCATATCAAACTTAGAAAATATTATATATGCATAATGTTGTTGCTGTCTACCTACCTGGATGGTCTTCAAAATTTTATAACATCCCAATATAGTACCCCATGATGTGAATAGGGTTTTTATTCATGAATATCATGAATATCATTAAGAGAATTACACACTATTAAACAGCAAAAAAACCCTTAAAAACATGAATTGATCACTTGATTTTAATAGTGTGTGACCCTGTGTGACCCCCTTATGATATTCATGAATACAAACCCTAGATGTGAAACAACTTGGGAATTGAAATTCTCCAATTAAAATCATTCTATATACTCCATCAAATTTAAGATCCATCACATAGGCTCTTGCCAAAAACCTGAAAACAAAGGATGAATTTATCAATATAGAAGAAAAACAAGTTTATTTTCATTAAAAAAAAAGGACTGCTTACCAATTATTTGCAAACCACAAATTACTAAATCATCAGAACCAACATCTATTGATTTATCTAATGCGTTTTTCATTGTTTTTCCAAGACTCACCAAGTCTTCGGAAACTAGTTTTTCACTAATATTTTCAGGTTTTACTTTGCCAATTAAAAGTTCAACATATTTCTTTTGATGAGTGGTTCTTATAATGAAATCTGGTTTAGATCCCATAAGAGTTTCATCAAAGTTTTTTTTGGCTAATGATGATGACTTAGATGTTGTGTTTGCCCTATGAATATAGAGAAAATTAAGGTAAAGTTTGTGATTGATAATATAATAATTTATTGCACATATACCAATCAATTATAGTCTTTTTATTGTTTTTAAAAAATGGAGTTGAAATAAAGACTAGTGCCATAATCCAAAAAAGGAAAAAGTATGGTTGCAAAAGTGGTCACAAAGGTAATTGTGACCACTTTTTATATGCTGTATATACAATTACTACCATCACCATAATTTATGGCACTAGTCTTTAAGTTGAAATATTCTTATGAATATGCGTGTCTTCTATATCGCTATTTTTTATAAATGTTGGTTGTGCATTTTTGACCCTGTTATACAATATTCAAATAAAAATAAGTTTATTTTAAAAAAAAACCATGAAAATCAACAGTGTTTACATAACATACAGGTTTTCAAGGACCTCTACAAATACATCTTGATTTAGTTTTTGTAAATATTGTTTTATAGCTGTTTTTCTGTTGTCAGAATTAGGTAACTCAAGTGCAATCTGAAATGTAAGTAATCTTGTCTAATTAGAATTTGCATATCTCCTTGAATAAAACATAATTAATTAATGTGCTTATTACCTTCATAAAACTCATAAAAATGTTATAAATATCTTCAGGAATTGATAAGATAGGATATGATTTAACCAATTCTTTAAAAATACAACACCAAGTTTCATCATCAAAACTTTCACACAATCCTTGGGGGTTTTCTTCAAATATAAAGACATGGCTTAATGCTCTATATAGGGTTTTTATTCATGAATATCATGAATATCATTAAGGTGGTTACACACTATTAAAACAGCAAAAAAACCCTTAAAAACATGAGTTGATCACTTGATTTTAATAGTGTGTGACCATGTGTGACCCCCTTATGATATTCATGAATACAAACCCTAGCTCTATAAAAAAGAGAGGAAAGGTAAATTCCAGTATTGCTTTCACAATACAATATAATTGATACTAACAATTCTTCTGGAGCACTCAAAATTATCTCCATCGATTCACATTGTTTAATAATTGATGCATGATATTTTTGACAAATTTCTGAAACATTTATATTGTTAACAATCCACTGTTTGAAAGAAACATGATGATAAATAAGAATGTTGTGATGAATAAAAATATACCTAAACCTAACATATTGTATTAAAACATTTACCTGACATCCACTCAAGTTCCATTCTAACATGCCTGAACCAACAAAATAATTTATATAGAATTTTTTGCCTGAAATAGTAAAAAATTCACTAACAGAATCTTCTGATTGTGGTAAATATGATGAGTCGGTTGGAATTTCTGTCCAATAAAAGTCTGGTATTCTTACAGATGGTGGTGATTGTTTCTATGAAGAAAAAGAACAAATCAACTTAGAATAAATAGCACTTGAACAACAATAGTAATGTCATACATTACATTATCGTTATTTATATGGTATTTTGCTGTTTCTTTTGCTCCATCTAATTGTAAACGTTTTTCTTTTATTATTACATCTAAATTGGATAATTCTTCTAATATACGCAAATAATGTTGTGAAAACTTGGTATTATCATCAGTCAGGTCAATAATTTCTTTATGCAATGCTTCAACTTTTGGTTTAAGTATACAATCAATTTGAGCTTGTATTTCATCAACTTTTTTAAAATTTTCTTCAGCTTCATCATGTGTTAACAATCTTGGCTCAGTTCCACAAATAAAAAATGATCCAATATTCAAAACATTATTTTTTATTTGTGAGACTGATTCTGAAATTTCATCAAAGGATTCTGTAATCTCGGTTTGTCTAAGTAAATACAAAGAAGTCAAAATTTTAATTTTATATAGAACTAGAGTGACAAGTGGTAGCGATAACCACCACCACTATTCTTACAATAAACAATACTTACCCATAGATTTTTTCTGCTTCTTCTTGATTTTTTCTTTTTCTTGTATTTTAATCTGTTGGACATTTTTACAAAAAAAAATGATGTTGTTTGATTGACACAAACACATCTAATTATTTATTGTTTTTTTTTTTGTGACACGAATTGATATTAATTTTTTTTTTTGGAAAAACAATTTATTTTTTGACAGAGTCCAAGGTGACAAAACGTGAGTGTTGTTGTTTGGTTTGG